TTTTCAGAAGAGCTTCTATGAAGAAGATGACATCTCGATTTCGATGTTTTATGCTCATCGCAGTTTTCTGCCTCATTTTATTAACCTTGAATGGTTTATTGATGTCAAGAGGATGGGAGGATGGAGCTATGTCTATGGCTGATCCAACTCTAGAAATTAATATGTCAATTGCTGGTCAGTTATTTTGCTAGTCGCAGTTTGTCCGGTTCTATTAGCACTACGTATGTGTTCAGTTTGACTGCACTTTTGGTCCACCGGGTGTCCGACGTTAGTCATATGCGCATTGGGCAGTTGTACGCTGAATATTTGATATGTGAACGTTAGACGTATTTATTACTAGTGTGTATGTGTACGAAGTGTTCTCCTGGAAGACATTTTTAGCGTTGATTAGAAGAACCTCAGAATGTGCCCATCACTAGAAGTTAGGCAAAAATGTTCAACATTAGCTTATTTAAAAAATGTTTCTTCACATTTGTTCGTTCTGATGCCGCACGAGAACGTTAGCGGTTGTGAAACGATGAGAGAAAGCAGCATTTACAAGTGGATTACTCGCATTATTTGAACATTTCTCGTTTGGAGTTAGTGAAAACTTGAAGTTAGTACAATTCGATTGATGTTTCAGAAAATTAACTGCATTTTAATTCATTGTTTTCTCGTACTGCAGACTGAATGTGTACGTTCGTCGGTGGTTAGTTGTATTAGAGAACTTACACACTGAGAAATGCTTCAGTTCAATTTCAGTGCAACTTAATTACGGTAATACTCGGAGCTGAAATCAGTATCAATCTGGCCATAATGTATATCTTATTTCCTCGAAAGCGGAAATCTGTTTCAATTTTATCTTTGGTAATTTGTATGAAACAGAAAATTTTTTCAACAATAATGATCTATATATTAGAGTGGTCGTCATAAGGGGTAAAATTACCCAGTTTCGGCAATTTGGAAATGTCAAGGGGTAATGAAGGGGGTCGGGAAATTAGTATTCCGAGCAATTGTTACTTTATGATAGAAAGCCATTGTGATAGTGTTTTTTTTGACTCGGATTTATAAATGCGGTTAGCTGATGGTAACACTGTTTCTGAGCGTTATTAGCTCGTTCTTACCTAATATCGTTTTCATTCTTTTTCGTGCTGCTACAATCGCTCTCATAGCTTTTATCACCAGAAGTGTTCTCTTTTGGTGATTTCTCATTCATTTCATTCAACAATCAAAGTCAAATTCTCATTCTATCAAATACACTCTATAATTGATCGTTTGACTGTTGAGCAATTCAATTCGATTGTTGTGTTGTTG